TATACGATCGCAGCCACTCTGTAAAGCAAAAAGCAAGCGGCGCGGTCGATGGGACCGCGAACATGCGATACGCGAGTACACGAATAAGAACGCGCGTACTCGACGCTTCTGCTCCATTGGAAAGTTGTTAGCATCCGATATTCGAAATCGCTCGAATTATCGAAAGGTAGCGAATGACGAGATACATTGTCCTTCGCGACATCCCGACACTTAGACGAACGAGTTTCGAACCTAAACACGACCTCTACCACTGTAAAATCTATATTGCTTTGATACCACCGGGCAGGCCTATCCTCCATGCAGGCCGCCGATGATTTAATACTTTCGAAGACGAAGACTAAGACCTATCGTTGTCCCGAATATACCATAGAACAGCCTAGTTACCTCGAGACAAACGCATAATCGGATCAATTGCAATGATAGATTTGTTGGCCAATGTTACGGAATGGATGATGGAGACGCCATCGACGGCGCCTCCTCGTCGCTACAGCCGCTTCAAGAAAAAGAATGAGTGTTGTGACGATAGCTCCCGAGATAGTAAGTTTTAAAAGCCGATTGGGAACGTTAACGAGAACCACAACCCGAACGGAACGCGAAATGAATGGCAATGACACGTGCACAACGGAATGCAGGACACGATTCTTCTTGGTGTCGTATCGTCTGCATTGTGCGTTTGCCCGATGTGTGTTGCCTGCTGGGACTGCTGCCTGATTCCAATTAACATAAATATTTGCAACGTCGCGAGAAGTATTTCTCACTCCGCTGTAACCTGTGCTGTGATTCGGCCTTGTGGCAAGCATCCTCTCGGTGCAAGGGACGCCCTCGCGCTAGGTGTATCTAGTATCCACCGTTTCTTCTCTGTGACAATCAACGCTGTACATCCATGTAAAATTCCTCGTGCAACCTTGAAAAGAAACTCCACGTCTCCTCCGAATTCCATTTACCTGGCCGCGAGTCCGAATCGCAGCTACTCGGTGTCTAAGACTCGATCTCGATCTCGATCTCCATCTCGATTTCGATCTCGAGATCTCAGCGTCCCACCGAGTAGGTTGGCGACCACCGCCGGCTTCTTTCTTATTTCACGGAGGCGCCAATCGAGCGCGCGTTTCTCCACAGCCTCTATTGTGCATCGTATGCATTTCTATCAACATACAAGAGCAATGTTGTCTTTCTCGTGCTGTTCGAGTCTTGCGCAATGCGTGTTTTGTGTGTCACTAATCGGCCAAGTCGAATTACGACCTCGAAAAGCGTCGGGTTGGTTCGCATCTAGGCATTCGATCCCGATGTACCGCCCGACGCGCGCACTCCTCTATTTTTTTCGTAACTCTCTCCAACCACCGGAAATCACCTCGAATCGATCTCCACCCTGTCCTTCCCGCTGTCCTCGATACTTCTTCTTTTACACCTTCGGAGCCTCCTTTTCGTTTGAAGTCGCGGTCGCTTTGCGTGTGTTTCCTCACGATCTTGGAAAGCAGCGAAGCGTCCGATCTTGTCCTTGCATGCGCACGGTAAATAGTTCTCTTTCTACGTACGTGTCCGTTCGTGCGGCTACGTCGCCGCGTGATCCACCTGAATGCTCGGTGAAGAAAGGACGGAGAGTTAGAGAGCGCGAGAGTGAGAGAGAGCGAGAGAGGGGGGAGAGTGAGAAAGAGAGCGGGGGGAAAGAGAAGAGAAAAATACTCGTCGTCTGCATGCTGCATCTCATCGTCCAAAATAAACGAATCAATTGTAAACCCCGTGAATTCAGGGAACCGGGTAGAAAGAAGGACACGCGGGAAGCCCGCGAAATCCAGATGGTCGATAAAATACACTTGGCTTTGTAGATCCTCGATGCATCCCGCGAGTTTGCTGCCGCAAATTGTTAAGCCTTGACACGAAAGATAACAAAAATGAGCGGAATAGAAGTAATAATAATAACAATAATAATAACAATAATAATAATAATAATAATAATAATAATAATAACAAGTACTACCTCGAAACTTAAAGAACATCGAAATATTACATAACGTGGATCGAAGCTCACGGAACGTCCGGCATGCATCCAACGTTATTCGCAAGCATGGCCAGTCTGTATTAGCATGAGCATGTTCGTACATTCATCGTTCGTTCGATCGTTCGTTCGTTCTAATGTACGTATGATATACCACACCCGCATCCATACATAGCGAGTCCACCAGTAGCCAGCCTAACGGCACGAAGCAGCAGTCACAAGAGAAAGCGCAAAAAAAGACATATCAAGAAACGTGTGTGCCTCGAATTCCAGTAAAGATGAATCCTGTACTCGCCTTCGAGTATCTGTTCTTCGCCGTCTTTGGCCAAACGACCCACGGCGAGCTGAAGGTCGAGACTAATCAGCCGCAGTGGACCTCAGTCTTGTTCAAGTTGGCCTTTGGCGTATACATGTTGGTCTCAGTAGTCGTATTAATTAATCTACTGATCGCCATGATGAGCGACACCTACCAGCGGATACAGGCGCAATCGGACATTGAGTGGAAATACGGCCTCAGTAAACTGATACGAAACATGCACAGGTAAGCCGGCAAACGTGTATCGTTTACGAAACGAATCGGATCTCTAACCCGCGTTCGAAATTTGAATATCTGTAAAATATCCGTTTCCTGTGCTGAGGAAGCATTCTCTGGAAAAAAAAAAAAAAAAAAAGAAAATGTCTCCTACTCCGCTTACTTTTAATAATTGTCGGTATTCCGCATT